AAAAATGAGGTGGGAAGAACCTGAATAAGAGGTGACTGATTTTAACTGGTGTGGAAAGCTTCAGATGGTTTCTTTAAAAATGTAAATCTTAAAACATTAAAAACAACAAAAATTCAAGAAATGTATTTAAAGGTTGGAACACTTGGGACTAGTGGCAGTGAAAGGGATGTTGTGGCAAGCTACTAAAACCAAGAAATTCAAAATCTAGATTATTTCTTCCTTCTGTCCATTCACTAACTCAAATATTGCTTGAGCACCTGGTAAGCGACGTTGACTCTGGCAACACACAGAGCACTTGTTAATCAGTTTTTCGCTTGTCCACACCTGTCTGAGCCCTTCCAAGAGGCTGAGCTCCTCCTCTTGCAGGCTTGCCTGGGTCAGTGGTCTCTACTGCCTGATCCTTTGAGGTTCACACCCCTCCTTATTGCTGCTTCCTGCTGACCTCCTGGCCCCTTCCCTTCGTTCTGTGAGCAAGTTGGCACCTGACTTAAGTTTTCCTCTCCACTACAACTCTGGATAATTAAAATGTCCACCCATCGAACCCACTTATCTCTAGGTTTTGTGACCTTGCTTTTGTCTCCAGTAATCTTTCTCTCACTCAGCCACTGCAAGGCCATTCCTTAGACTGTACACACCATAAACTTGCTCCTCAGATCAGGCAAGGGTTTTTTGTCCTTCCCGACTTGCTTAACAACTCCCAGTAGATCAGAGCTGCCATCAGACTCTGCTGTCTTCACGACACTGTATGTTGCCTTCACATCCTTAACCTATTCCATTTAGATACCACAGGCCCATTTTTCAACAACTCAGTTTTAGTAATTATTCAATTATTGTCCTTTGTTCTATTAGACTTACCCGGAAAAATCCCACATCTCTCTGTTTTCTCTCTCTGTACCTAGGCATCAGTGTGTTACTAGGGAGAGGAACAAAAGTAAAACCACAAGAGGCAGATTTCACTGTAAGTTGTCACCATTCTATAGTTCTCCGGTACCTCTGGCCACTTGACTCTCCATAAGAATTGTTTTAAAACATCCATTTTAATCTGCTCTGGTCTCAAATTTCAGAGAAAACCAAAGCCTGCATACAGCCTGGTTTCTTCTCCTTTATCTTCTAGATTACAAATACTCGTAGACATCTCGTCAATCTTTTCACCTGTGCTTTGGACTCCATGGTCCTCCACTTTTTTGGAACCCAATACCATGCTGATCTCTTTAACTCTCTGGTCTTCAACTTTTCCCGCTTTCCCACATCCTTCTGAGATAAAGTAGTAGCTACAAAAGGAAAGGAAGACATGCTGCTGCCTCATTTGCTCCTCCTCTATACATCCAGCACTCAAGTTCTGTGAGGTAGCTTCCTTCTGACCTCTGCCTCCTCTACTACTGGGAGAGAATGTCTCTAAGCTGCCTATTGCTACCAGGAGGTCAAATCCAATAGCTGCTTTCACATCCCTCACTGAACGTGATCTCTCAGTAGTACTGAACACCTGTGCAGGAAAATGCCCCTCCCCTGGGCTTTCATGACTTTCTCCTCCTGGCTTTAACCTCTTTAGCTACTGCTTGTCAGTCTCCTTTGCTGGCTCATCTGCCACTTAACTATTGAGAATACTTATGCTTTTGCCCTAAGCCCTCTTTTCTTTATAGCAGAGATTCATGCATTTTTGTTTTAAGGGCCATATCATAAATTATTTTAGGTTTTGCAGGGCATAGTCTGTCACAATTAATCAATGCTGCCATTGTGGCATGAAAACAGCCATGAACAATAATTAATTGATGTAGTTGTGTTCCAATAAAACTTTATTTGGAAAACAGATGGTGGACTGGGTTTGGCCTATAGCCTGTGGTTTGTTTATGCCATACTCTACACTCTGCCTAGAGACATATCCTCTTATGTCTCCATTGACCATCTATACATCACATTCATGTCCAAATCTGTCTCTCCAGCTACCTAAAACCCACATTTAAATGTCTGAACGGGCATCTCAAATCTTACCTGATGAATTGTGCTCTTTGCCCCCCAATCTGATCTCCCTCCAGTGTCTTTACTAAAAGGCACTGCCATATGCTACACAAGGTAAAAAGAATCATCCTAGAAATCTCTCCCTCTTTCATTCTCTTAATTCTTTGAACTGGAAGAATAACTAAAAAAGATAACTCTGGAAATGCCATTATTTGAAGCACACAGTCAAATTTAACATTTCACTAATAGAGCTAAACTTTATTTCCATGTTTATTACATGTTTATCTTTGATGCTGAATACATATTAGATTGATTTAACATACAACTTGGGAGAAAAGCTGACATTCTCCACTGAATGGGTTAAAAAGGAATGTAAAACTACAAAATACTTGTTTTAAGTTTGAATTCTAAATTATGGCAAACAGAACAATAATTACCTTGCTGTTTTCTCTTTCTAGTTTTCCAAGATGGATTTCCTTATAAAATTTTCATAACAATTTATTTCAAGAAAAGAAATAAGGGATAATCATTAAAACCATTTTAAGTATAGAGTACAAATAAAGAGTCTTAATGCAGAACTCCTATCTTCTATTTAAAATACAAATACTTCATATTATGAATTGAGGGGGATTAATTGCTAACTGCAAATCTAATGATTTAGAGCAAACTCATACATGCCATTTGCTTTTGTCTGAAAGATTAGGCTTATTTATGGGTGACACAATAGAGCTCTACTTGGTATCCATGTTAGCCAGTTGCTTCTCAGAATGGAGATGGCCAAAATACTAAGTGCTTACGTGATGGAGATTTGGGATTAATCAATTCCAAGTGGTTGAAAACATAATTAATCATTCCATCCCCCCAATCACTGACCATGTACAAATGTACAGATTTTAGCATTCAGTGAAAAGTACTAAAATAAAACCCCTCGAGATACTCTGCAATTGCTGAAATTCAGTGTACAAAGACTGTTGTCTATAGTGTAATTCCAATGTTTAATAAAATAAAAATTATGAGTGGTTATCAAAGTTGTTATTGCTAAGTTTCCTTACCTTTGCTATAAGCCCCTTAGCACAATTTATCAAGAACGATGTGTTTTTCTTACTATTACTCTTCACTTGGATACATTAAAAAAAACAGCAATCACTTTAAAATTATTTCCTACCAGGGACGGGATTACAGGGTGAAAACTTTTCCTAGGAGTATGGCTGATGCCTACTGTTCTCATTAGACAAGTGGTTAGAATCATCTCTAAAACCCATCTTCTTTTTAATAATGCTTATAAAAGATGCTTAATAAAGATAACTTATCTCTAATTAGATTACTCGTGATAAAATGCCTTCTCATGTAACTATTTAGGACAAATAATATATGGCTTTTCAATTTGTAAAATTTTACTTTAACGTCATATTGTTAAAGCTTTTTTAAATAGTCTTCTAATATCAGACTCTTAAATGAAAAAAGAGAAGACAAAAGAGAAAAACTCTACATATCAAGGCACACTCTTTTTCTTACAACAGGGGTTAACATACTTTTCTATAAAGGGCCGGATAATAAACATTTCGGGCTTTGTGGGTTGTAGGATCACTATTGCAATGATTCAACTTCTACTGTTGTTGAGAGAAAGCAGTCATAGACAATATGTATTCACAAAAAAATAGTCTGAATTTGGCCTGCTTGTCACAGCCTTAGAACAGAAAGGAATCTACAAAACCCTGGTCTCTAGTCAGGTGTGATGACTGACTCAGAATCGAGCAGTTTAATCACTCTAGAACATGTCAATGTTGAACACTTCAAATTCAGCCAAATTACCACTGTGGGTTCAGATTCTTCTTTTCAAACTCATGTCATCTTATTTTTCCTTTGGGATAATTTATCTTCATTTAAGTAAGTACTTGCTTGAACATTATTTATTGAGGGATTCAGTTTAAAATTAGTAAGTGATGTCCATAAAATTGAATATCCGATTTAATTTTTGAAAAACTTAATGAAAAATATAACAATCAAAACATCTAAAATAAGTACACTCACTACCCATTCCACTAATTCATTTCAGTCATAGCAACTATAGAATAGGAAAAATAAATTCAGAAGTATAATTACTTTAAAATAACTACTTCCGTATTTGTCAATATTTTACATTTATGTATATATTCTCTAGTGTAAGCAGAAATTCTCTCTAAAAATCGCCTTAAAATCTTGAGGTGCAGAGCCACAGGCAATATCTGACATATAAAACTGCAGTACAGGCCTGTCAATTTGGCATTTCACTGGTACAATACAATGACCAACTTGTATAATCACTGTACAGTGCCTAGACATTCCAGTAAGAACCATTATTTTCTTTAATGTAGAATGATTAATACATAGTCTACAAGGGGCAGTGAGGTTTAGTAATTCTGTTGGGTATGTCCTGACATAATTTCAAATTGTACAATAACACAAACAACTTTGTTAAGGCCATGTTTTATTTGCTGATTAATGGACAAAAGGCAATGTATTTTCAAGTATTTTCTTGAAAGTCTGTGCTCATAAAAATCATGAAAAGTTGGAAAGACTGTTAAATCACTGAAACTTTAAATATATCTTACACAATCTGTTTGTACAAAAATACAAGTTAAATATAAACATAAAGCAATCATGATAATTTTATGCAAATCTGTTTTTAAGTGATCTTCAGTTATATATAAAAGTTTCGTGGTTGGTTGTGAAAAGATCAATACCAGATTGAATTACTATCTATTGGCAAAGGGCCCTAAAAAGCTTACTTTAGCAATTATCTTTTACATGGTTAAGAGCATTTCCTAATTTAAGATCACCTAAATACTGGAAAAAAGAAAAAATGAAAAGGGCAGTATGTCCATAAACCAACAAATAATTTGGCTGTAATGTATCATAAAACACAAAGAACCCCCACACATCTGTACAATAAACATTATGTATTACATACTCACACACACAGGGGTACACGTGTGTGCATGCACGTAAACACACACACACGCATACGCAGGCGCACACACACACACCCAGTCATAAAACAAATCCTAATGAGGTGCTGCTTCCAGTTCGATATTCAGCTGTGCATTTTTTCTTACTTCATCAAAAGAATAGCTTTTTGTCACCTTCCCATTCTTGAAGACAGTGTGAAGAAGATCCTGCACAAATATAACAATATTGAAATTTAATGGTTATATTAGGCTATCAAAATTTTTCAGTAATGATTAGATGAATTAGACTGAATAGTCAAAAACAGAGATGCTGATAATGTTCAAATTATGAAATGATTTTATATACAAAGGATGCTGACGGAGCAGGCAGAGGCAAGACCCGGATCTAAAATGGGATGTAGACATGTTTAACTTTCTGAAAAGGAATGATTCAAGTATTACATTCTTAAAACAGTCTTCCTTAACGGCAAAACAAATCTAGTAGATGCTTACTGCTTTGGCTGCCCAAAGCACTATGGCTGTCGCTGATAATCATGATGGACAGATCAGCAAGGAAAGCCTGCGAGACTGTCCCTGTTCCTAGCCAAGAGACTCAACACCGATTAAACTTATCAACCTGGAATTTACTAAACTTACTAATCAGAAGTTTTTGCCTTAAACAAACAAAAGTCAACCCTAAAAACAAGAAACCAAACCCAAACAGAAATATTAGTAGATATTGATTTCTTGACCAATACAGTCACTGATTTTAAAGACTGTGTGTATTCCAGAAGTCACTGATACATGTAATCCATTTGATTTATGCAAGAATAACAAAGACAAATTAAGAGAATTAGGACTAAATTCCCTTTGGGTCTGGCAAATTCCTGTCGTAGTAAGGAATTATCTGCCTCTAGTTTTTTCTTGAAAAATCCATAGACGTAATCTACCGCGCCAGAGTTTTCCATCTCATCTGAAGGTGAGCATATTTTTTTGTCACTATGTTGTTTCCTTTTATCCCTTTTTCTATTGAAATATAGTTGATTTACAATATTAGTTTCAGGTACACAATGTAATGATTTACTATTTTAGATTATAAACATTTAAAATTGTTATGAAATACTGGCTATATTCCCTGTGCTGTACAATATGTCTTTGCACCTCATTTATTTTGTACATGTAAGTTTGTACCTCCTACCCCCTGCCTCACCCCTCCCTGCTTCCCTTTCCCCACAAACACTAATTTGTTGTCTGTATCTGTGACACTGCTTCTGTTTCATTATATTCATTTATTTTTTAGATTCCATATACAAGTAATAACATTCAGTATGTGTCTTTCTCTGACTTGTTTCACATAGCATAATACCCTCCAGGTCCATCGATGTTGTTTCAAGTGACAAAATTTCACTTTTAACTGCTGAGTAATATTTCATTGTGTGTGTGCTAAGCCACATTTTCTTTACTCATTCATTTGTTGATGGACACTTAGGTTGCTTCCATATCTTGGATTATTGTAAATAGTGGTGCGATTATTTCATGTGTGGGTTTATTATTTCATGCACGTTTCAAATAAGTGTTTTCATTTTCTTTGGATATATACCCAGAAATGGAATTGCTAAATCATATCATAGTTCTATTTTTAGTTTTTGGAGGAATCTCCATAGTGGCTGTATCTGTTTACATTCCCACCAAGTGTATGAGGGTTCTCTTTTCTCCAAATCCTTTCCAACAGTTGTTATTTGTAGACTTTTGGATGACAGCTATTATTCTGACAGGTGTGAGGTGATACCTTTTTGTGGTTCTGGTGTGCATTTCTCTAACAGTCAGAGATGTTGAGCATCTTTTCACATGGTTATTAGCCATCTGTATAACTTCTTTGGAAAAAATGTCTATTCAGTTCTTCTGGACTGTTTTTTGATATTAAGTTATATGAGCTCCTTGGGTATTTTGGATATTGTTGGTCATATTTGCAAATACTTTCCCATTCTGTAGGCTGTCTTTTTGTTTTGGTAGGTTTCCTTTGCTGTATAAAAGCTTTTGATTAGATTGCATTTGTATATTTTTGCTTTTATTGATTTTGCCTTGGGAGACTGATCTAAGAAAACATTTCTATGATTTACATTGAGGAGTGTTTTACATGTTCTTTTCTAGGAGTTTCATGGAATCATGTCTTACATTTAGGTTCATTACTGCTTTTGACATATTTTACATCTCATTTTGTGTATCACTGAACTGCTTATTGGAGATGTAGATGATTTTACTGTCTTTTAAACTTTCTCAGTAAACACAGTTGATTTGCTACCTTTAATATACATTTGCCTTTACTGACAAGGTTTTTCCTTTTGTAATTATTATGTTTCTAGTTACAGCATTTTTCTCCCCTGCTTAGAAGTTCAGCTCACCTTTTGATCTCTTCATCAAATCTAAATGAAAGTCTTATCAGGTAGAATATTCTTGGTTGTAGGTTTTACTCTGTCATCGCTTTAAATATATTGTACCATCCCTCTCACCAGCAGAATTTCTGCTGAAATGTCAGATTACAACCTTATGACAGTTCCCATGTATGTAAGTTGTTCCTCTTCCCGCACTGCTTTTAATATTCTCTTTAACTTTTGCCATTTTAATTACCGTGTGTCTTGGCGTGGTCCTTTTTGAATGTGATTCTTTTGGGGCTCTCTGGAATGCAAGGCCCCCAAGGTTGGAGAGGCTGAGGTGGGGCTCAGACCCCTTGTTTCTTTGGAAGAACCTCTGTAATTATTCTCCTATGGGTTGCCCTCTTGGGGATATGGGTCTTGACTATATGGTGATTCTGCCCCTCTTATCTTGTCATAGTTCCTTCTTTAGGCTTTAGTTGTAGATCTTTCCTTGTAGATTCTGCTCTTTCTCATCAATATTTGTTCTGTAAATAGTTATAATTTTGGCATGCCCATAAGAGGAGTTGAGTTCTTGGTCTTCCTACTCCACCATCTTGAAACAATCTTACCTATCCCTGTGTTGTTTCCAATCACACTGCTCTTGCTGTGGCATTTTCTTTATATTTAAATTTTCAAAGTTAAATTCATAATCTATTGAGGAAGGGTGGTTCCTATTAAATCAAAATGTCTAGATGATTATAAATGGCTTACTGACTCAAACATTCTAGAGTATCATCCACATACTATTAAAACCAATGCCTTGTTTTAGTCACAGTTATGACCACGTCTAAAGTAATTTTTGTCCGTCTGGGGTAAACTAATAAAGCAAAGTCTTGGTAATAGAAAAGTTCAATGAAGGCTGTGTAATAGGCTATATATAAACAAATCTAATTCTAAAAGTTTTAGGAACTTGTACATATTTCTCATTAAAGATAACAGAAAACTCTTACTGTAATAATTATGGCTTAAAATCTTAAAAGAATATAGAAGTAGCATAAACAGAATATATGTAGTATAATATTCAAAAGTTAAAAAATACAATTTTATTATAAATAAAATTAAATTTTTATCAATTATGAGTAGTTCCCTTCTAAAAAGGAGTATTTTCTTGTTCAATCCAATGGCTTATTAATAAAAACTAGAAGTTGAATATAAGTGTAATTTTCTAAGTCAATGAGCATACAGACTAAGCATACTATGAATATTTCTAGCTTGGCTGACTTAAGAAAACTTGGTTCATTTATTAGTTATAATCTGAGTCAAGCCTCACTGTTTTTATATCTTACACTATTAAGCCTCACTGTTTTTATATCTTACACTATTAAGATGATATAATTTGCATTTTTAACCCATAGATGTTGCGGTGAGAATTAAATGAGACTAAAGAAAACCATCTGAACTGGATTCTATTGTTTTGAAAAAATGGAATCATCTTTAACAACATCTTGGAATTTGGAAAGCCCTTCTTTTATCCACTAAAATTACCACGGGTTTACTGTAACATAAACAGCTATGAATAGTCTAAGACCAGCATCCTTTAAGTATTCCTAACCATTCCTGTTCAGAAATGATTCACTGCTAACTGGCAATAGGAGTAAGATCAAGTACACACACTTATTGAAGCTCATCAATCACTCTCTTCTGGTAACTATATGGAACACCATTTTTTTTCTTATAAAATATTTCACTCAATGTAAAGGTCTCATATTTATTATCTAGCCATTTCTTATTTTTCATCTTATTTTGGTAGGCTAGGTCAGCAATTGTAAACATTTTACAATAAAACTCTTGTCCTCCAAGAAAAGAACTTTTCTGAAAATAATTTTAAACACAAAAGCCTCCTTTCTTAATTTGAAAAGTGAACTTATTACTGTTTAAAAAACAAAACAAACCCCAATCAGCATAGATACATACATGACCATATTCTTCAAGGTCTCCTTTTCCTTCCTCAAGTGTAACAAAATTTCCTGCTGGTGTCCTATGTAAAGATAATCGGCCCTTTTTGGACCTTTTGTTGGGATCAGCAACTGGATCCTTGAAGACGTTAATCTGGAATCCAAATTAAAGTTACAGAAATAGAAGATTAATCATCAGAAATGTTCACTCAACTCACATTAAAAAAAGTATATATCAAATTTATATAAATTTTAAGGTACTTTGCAGGTATAACTAAGCCAATCTGCATCTAGCTCTTAAGAAATATAACTCTAGCCTTCTGTGGAGGAGAGAGTCCTCTATCAGGAAAAAGGTATGAACCAAATCCAAGTCTTTGAAATCTTTTCTTACTAGTGCAGAATACTAATAACTCCATCTGTAGTAAGTCTCTGAGGTCAACAATGTGACCCTTAAAGTATTCCCTTTTCTATTATGCATTGCCCTTAAACTGATCTAAGTATAGCACATGCATGTTACTGAAAAATAAATCCATGTCAACTCTATAATCTGTGGCAAGGGTAGTAGGATTTTACTACAGTAAAGGCTTGCCCACTTCATAACTTTTTCCCTTTTGTTACTTTTTATTCTATTATGGTATCTTGTTACCACAAGAAGCAAAGACAACCTTGAGAACCTAGAGACCTAGAGCACAGTGCTTTAGGATCAGAAAGGTAGAAGGCAACTGGAGAAGTGGAAGAAGCAAACCTAGAACTCGCCAAAGAATGATGGAGGTGAACTAAGGTAGGGAACCAACCCATGTGTCTTTAGGATCCACTACACACATCATCGAAAAAGCGACAGTTCCAGAAAAATATCTACTTCTGCTTTACTGACTATGCCAAAGCCTTTGTGTGGATCACAACAAACTGTGGAAAATTCTTCAAGAGATGGGAATACCAGACCACCTGACCTGCCTCCTGAGAAACCTGTATGCAGGTCAAGAAGCAACAGTTAGAACTGGACATGGAACAACAGACTGCTTCCAAATTGGGAAAGGAGTAGGTCAAGGCTGTATATTGTCACCCTGCTTATTTAACTTATATGCACAGTACATCATGAGAAATACTGGGCTGGATGAAGCACATGCTGGAATCAAGACTGCTGGGAGAAATATCAATAACCTCAGATATGCAGATGACACCACCCTTATGGCAGAAAGTGAAGAAGAACTAAAGAGCCTCTTGATCAAAGTGAAAGAAGAGAGTGAAAAAGTTGGCTTAAAGCTCAACATTCAGAAAACTTAAATCATGGCATCTGGTCCCATCACTTCATGGCAAATAGATGGGGAAACAATGCAAACAGTGACAGACTTTATTACTTTGCCAATAAAGGTCTGTCTAGTCAAAGCTATGGTTTTTCCAGTAGTCATGTATGGATGTGAGAGTTGAACTATAAAGAAAGCTGAACACTGAAGAATTGATGCTTTTGAACTGTGGTGTTGGAGAAGACTCTTGAGAGTCCCTTGGACAGCACAGAGATCCAACCAGTCCATCCTAGAGGAAATCAGTCCTGCATATCATTGGAAGGACTGATGTTGAAGCTGAAACTCCAAAACTCTGGCCACCTGATTCGAAGAACTGATACACTGGAAAAGACCCTGATGCTGGAAAGACTGAAGGCGTGGGAGAAGGGGACAACAGAGGACAAGATGGCATCACCAACTAGATGGACATGAGTTTAAGTAAGCTCTGGGAGTTGGTGATGGACAGGGAAGCCTGGTGTACTGAAGTCCATGGGGTCGCAAAGAGTCAGACACGACTTAGCAACTGAACTGAACACACCCTTTCATACAGAGACCCCCAAGAGCTTGTGAAGAGCTACTAGGGATTTGGTTGTTCAGCTGCCTGCATCTTGGGTTCCCCATTCGAAGACTACCAGAAAATGATTCTAGTGTCACAACTGGAACCTCATAGTTCACCTTCCTAAAACATTGACAGTGTTTACATATTTGCTTATTTTTAATGTATGATGGCTAAGTGAGCTGATGTGATTGTGTGTGCATGCCAAGTCGCTTCAGTCATGTCTGACTCTTTGTGACCCCATGGACTGTAGTCTGCCAGGCTCCTCTGTCCATGGGGATTCTCCAGGCAAGAATACTGGAGTGGGTTGCCAAGCCCTCCTCCAGGGGATCTTCCCAACCCAGGGATCAAACCCGAGTCTCTTGTATCTTCTGTATTGGCAGACGGGTTCTTTACCACTAGCACCACCTGGGAAGCCCAGGTGAGCTGACATTCTCACTCAAATGTGCTCAACTTCTTGATTCAAAGGTATATACTAAAGTAGTAGAAATGAATTGACCTGCATCATCTCTCTTAAATTAATTCTCATTTTCCCTCTTTTTCTAAGTCTTTCCTCTTTTCTGAAGTCAAGTTATCACCTATTATCTCTTATTTTTCCCCTGTTTCTGAGTATTGTCAGGGGTACAATACAGTAACAGTTTAGGACCATATTATCCTTTGACTACTGCATTCAATACATACATTCTAGGCATATTCTAGGCCTACACATAAAGAAGATAGCAACAACACAAGAGCAGAAGTTGTAGGACATACCCCAAGGCCATTGGTTACAACATAACTACATTTGAAGGAACAATTCAAAAGATCTCTTGTTAACTTCTGTAGCAAGGCTCCACCAGAACCGAAGGAAACATTTTCAATACTCCATTTTTTTTGCTTCATGCCTTCCACAATCTAGATTAAAGAAGAAAATAGAAAAAAGTCAGGTAATTTGGAAGTGGAAAGAAGTTATTTTTCCATGGGCCACACTGATGATTAAACCATCTAAAGCTGTTTATAACACAGTAAATAATGGGTTAAGAATAAGGCCTACATGAAGTTACATCCCATTTTTTTTTCTCTTAAAAGACCCACCCACCTCAAAGAGGGAAGCCCAAGGAATAAGTGTAGAAAAAGGGGATTTCATTCAAAGTTCCTGAATTTGTACTGTTATCAGTGATTGTGGTTTAGGTTGGGGGAATAAAGGGAATGAGAGGTAGAAAAAAATGGCTATCAATACACAAGGTTACTTGAGTAAACTTTCATCTACATCTTTAATTTATTGCCCAGATGCCAGTAGCACAAGCAATGAGGCCCAGACATTTGTCCCAAATTACTAGATTCTATGACTCTACTCATCATTAATAAATTTCAATACATGTTGTCACATGTCACAGTGCAAGTCATATAATGGGGTGCTTAAAATCAACAGATATTAGTGATTTAAAAACAAGTGTAAAATACTCCTGCTAATTTAAGAGTTGAGGCACTGGCAGTCGTCTGACCCTGGCTGGTACTCCAGTGCCATAAGCAAAACTATGAACTGATTGGGAGCTAAGAGTTATCACTGGATCATTTTTTGGCAGAATGATTATCTAAAAAGCCAGAAAGAGAGAACAATGTAAACACAGACTTCTAACAACTAGACTATTTCTTTCAAGGGACACATAATTTAAAATTTACATTAATTTATTACTCTATTATCAATCTCATTTACATTTCTTTTTCCCAGGCAGGACTTAGTTAACTAGTGTCTGTCTTCTTATGTAACATACTCAATCACTTTTATGGTAGAAGGTAGCAGATAAAGTTTAATAACCATTATTTTAATTTCATACTAGTCAAAAGGAAGTAATTAGAAAGTATGGGGTTTTTAAATTTAAACAGAATTTTCAGAAGTGATCAGAAAATCAAAATCAAGTTTAATAGGTTTATGTGAATTATTCATACAGATTTGTTATATACTTCCCAATACCAAGAGTCTCAAACTGACCTCTTATCTAAATGAGGAATAGTTGCTGTTGTTTATTCACTAAGTCATGCCTGACTTTTGCAACCCCCATCAACAGTAGCCCAACAGGTTTCTCTGTCCATGGGATTTCCCAGGCAAGAATACTGGAGTAGGTTGCCATTTCCTTCTCCAGGGGATCTTCCTGATCCAGGGCTTGAACCCACGTCTCCTGCATTGGCAGGCAGATTCTTTACCACTGAGCCACCAGGGAAGCCCCATTATCAACATTTTAAGATACAAAAATAAACTTCAAGGACCTACATCTTTTAACAAATCCACATTTAGAAATGCAACTTTCTTTTTAAATCTCTGTTTAACTCTCCTGCTATATGTCAGTAATCAAGATGGAGACATATGCATTTTAAAGTAATTCTCATGTCTTTTTATTATTACACTTGAACTCAAAACACTCAAGGGTTCTGAAATTTTTTCACTGAACTAACTGTAAACCAAGTATAACTAAAACAATAACGAAAACCTTATAAAACAATGTGAAATTAAAATTCTAATAAGTGAATTTCAACATAGAAGAAACACAAGTAGAAGAGAAAAAGGGAGTAAAAGACACGGAGACAGACAGACAGAGGGTAAGGAGATCTGGGTAAAATACAGAGAAAATAGTTTCAGACCTGTCACCTGATTTTAGGTACATCTCAGAAACACAAGAATGAGGAATTCACAAAAAAACAGTACCACCTAATGTCATATTCTGTCATTTAGGACCAATTTCTTTAAGGTGTTCTTCCCATATAGCTTCACCATCACAAGTTGTGAAATTTAGACAATTTAAAGTTTATGTGAATTTTTCTATTAATGTTACTGGATGTTACAGAATTAGAGGAAATATTACTTTAAAAAAATTTTACACAAGGAAACCTGACTAGACAAAAAGTCTATATAAATTCCTTTCCTTGCTTCTAAAAACTTATTTTGACCCACCTCCAATATGAAGAGAGAGCAGGTATTATCCTTTAGGTTATGAGTGCATGTATTAACACAAACTACTCATTCTCTGTTTAAGGTTTTACCAATGCCAGAGAATATGTATCTTGGGATTTAACTTTTTGTTAATGGAGTTATTTTTTTAAAAAAGGTTCAAGTTCTGAACTGATTCTCAACTTTAAAAATGCATGTACATTTTCAAACTTTATTTAGAAAAATGAAAAAAAAAAAGAAAAGAAAAGCCAAAGAGCTTCAGTTTTTAAAGAGAAGTTCAAATACCCAACGGAGCAACCGAACTTAAAAGAGCTGCCCCTAAGAACAAGGAAGGACAGGGATAAGCAATGGGAAGAGCACTGGGCTAGTAGACATTCTGTCATACAGTACCTTGCCCAGGTTTCTTCATCTGAAAGGGATCTGCTAAAATGGAGGTTTGGGTACTAGTTCTTAACTGACCCCAAGTCAGAAACCTTCAATTCAGCTGAGCTAGAAGACAACAGCAATTAAATATGCCAACTGAGATTTCTATATTCAGGTCCTCCTCTTGCTGCAGACTTTTCTTCTATTTCTTCCTTTGTACATCAAAGCCCCTAATGCCCCAACAGCAAATGTCTTAAAAGAGCTGGGGAAGTTTCCACTTATCTTAGGCAAGGTGGTTTGGAAGAGCTGGTGGAAGAAACCTCATTTCTGTTATTTTAAGAGATCTATTTCAGACGTCATTTGGAACTCTAAATACATATCACCACAGGAGTACTGAGAGTTATATGCAATAGTTATTTCTTTTAAATGAATCTTTAGAAAACAAACTGTTCATAACTGGAGTACTGACCTTCCTCTAACCCTTCACACCAACCCTTTCAAACAGAAAATTCTTTTGGTAACTTGCGTTATACAAGTGGATATCATCTGAAACTAGTATACATTAAAATGTCAGTGCTTTACAATAGTTGACAATCTACATCATGGTATCAGTGATAGTCTTAATTATTATGGAGTACTTTAAGTATTAAAATTATAGTTCTTTAGAAACTTATTTGAGAAACAAAAGAGGAAAAAGGTTTAAGATAATATGAAATTTACACTGATTGGCTAACTCTAACAATAATAGTGATAACAGTCAATGCTAAATTTAGAGGAGGTAACAAACCATTCTATAAATCTGAAAAAGCACAGTATCAAAAAGACTAGTATCATGCAGGTTTCATATTAGAGTATGTGAAGTTCCATTCTATTGAAACTGAGACCTATTTGTGCAGTGTTAAGACTTTTTGTTTTACATATAAAGAGTACTCTTCGGCATTTTCTTGTTTCCTAGTGACACTTCTTTGGGCTCATCATCCATGGTGGCCAATGAGGACTGGGAGTGTGGTTTGGCTGGTATGTCTATATTTTAAGTTACTATTATCCATAAATTTTAAGCATTTAACAGAAAAGACATACACTATCTTACTAAAAGAATAACAATTGTACTTAAATTATTAATGTTATTGTTATCAAATTAGTAAACAGTCTAATTATAAGAATTACCTTATTGAAACTCTTTAATGTAAAATACATACCTCTTGTAAGGTATTAATATCTACTCCATCTCCTTGAATAACTCTAAGATAAGGTGGTAGCAACTTGTAGCCCTTCGAGTTCTCGGTAACAGGGAACTTCTTACCTAAAATATCCAAAACCTGTTTGGAAAAATACACATCCAACACAAAATAACTAAGACTGAAAAAAAGTGTAAAAACGTATTTTTCCCTCACATTTTTCAAATTAGATTCAGGAAAAAAATCCTTTAACATTAGAAACTTACAATGGTAAATATAATATTTTTAAAAGGTATATAAAACATCATTTAAAAAACTCACGATAATACTTTTGACTTGGATTTTTTTTCTGCTTGTGCCAATAATTTAATTTGATGTAACTCAAACATGAATCCAGCTGAATTTTCTGAAGTCCTTCTCACTTAACAATGACATCAATTTTTTTTTAAGCCGAATTGTTTAATATGCAAGTTGTGCAACTCATTCACTAACTATTGAAAGTTTGGTAGCAGCTGAAATACTTCAACACTGACTGAAGATTTATCACAAAGCTTCCTCAGAGATTTGAAGGTTTTACCAAACAAACACTCCCTTTTCCTAAATAAGCTGGTTTAATATTCTAACAATGACAAAATTCCATATGATAACTCAGTTGATTCTTGAAACTAGGTTTGTATATTTTTATTAGGTAACAGAAAAAACATGAAACCTGTTCAGTTTGCTAAAACCAAATTAGTTCACATTTCAGGCTAAGATAAAACCATCAGACTGGTCTATTACTTAGGATAGGAAAAGATCTCCTTGATTCTACACCCCACTGTTTTAAAGAGTAATTCATCACCTAATCATCAGCTGGGAAATTGTGGTAAAGAGAAACAGTGATAGTCATAAAGACCTATGTTGGCTACTTGGCTCATTTTATTACATGTTGTCTGAACTTGAGCAAGTGAATTTTAATCTAAGCTGGTTTCTTTGTCTATAAAAAAGAGTTGTAATATGGATCATAAGGTTTTTGGAGATTCAGTGACACAATTAAGCAAAGCATGTAACACACTATTTTTCTAGTAGTAAGCATCAATAACCTGTTTCTATTAGTGCTTTTCAAAGAAGGTAAACCAAGCCCTAAAGATTTAAAAAAAGAAGAAAAAAAAGACAGCAAGGCTACATTGAGGACTGGTAGTATCACTAAAGAATCTCTACTTGAAAAGTATTTTTGAATTACTTTTGTTCCACATTACCTTGCACATACTTCTTTTGCACTAAAACCTTCAAAGGTACAGCAATAACTTGTGATAAAGGTAGAGAAAGGCACAAACTTGATAACCAAATCATAGGACTGGTTAAAATGGTAATGGTATTTATTAATCTTGAAGGTAAGTAGAAAAGAAAATATCTATTCAATAGTCAACAGTACTTGTCTATTTGATAGTTACATATTAATAAATGACCCTTCCCTCTGGAAATAGTTCCTCTGTTATTAATGTGTGACCTTGGGCAAATCTATTACTCTCTCTGGGCTGCACCTCTAAAATAAGGGGACTGGTCCAGATAGTTCTGAAATGGTGTGTATATGAATGAAGTTAAAAGCAGTGTTGATGCAGCTGGTCTACTGGCACTTTTAATAATCAAGTTATGTATTAAAATTTACCTTTAATACAGTGTCAAGAGGATTTCCAGAATCAGGTCTGATTATTAGTGGTGCCTCTGTACTTCTTGATACTATTAAATGTCTTAGATCTTCACCCCATGTTTTCTCACACGCATTATAAATGTCATAGCTATCGCTGACCACAGATACAGGCACTGATGAAAATTGTGTTACTATATGTTCAAAAGCATCTTTTTCATGGTCCTTCCCCCAAGCTGTTATGGTACTAGAAAACAAAATGAAAATACAGATTTACTTAGGTAGACACATTATCTGTTCCTGAATTATATCTCATGTTTACTATACTACACCATCAACACTGCAGAGAAGTTGAGTGATTTAGTTTAATGAATGCACATCAAGAGGTTAGTTGAATATTTGAGCCAAACCAAACCACCCTTTGGCCAATTTTTAAGACTACAAATAATCTCTCCAATAGTTATTCAAACTCTTAAGTCATATTCAACCAAAGGATAAACTATGTTATTTTCTTTTTTAGTATTTCTGAACCTAAAATGAGTGAGCTAAAAAAGCATCTGTTAAATACACTCTATACATTATGCTGAGATGTTAGAAAGAATGAACACATACTGCCATTATTTCACTAAGCAATGCAGTTCCCTTTTGTGAATTTTCAAAACCATATACCAATAATAATAAGGACATATATTTTATCTTTCTTACTCTCCAAACCTTACACCTAAAAGACAATTACTCAGGCAATTACTTATATTGTATCATGCACAGATACACTCAACATAATCTACTAACTAACATATGCCCAGGAAGTAAGAATTACAATATTTAGTTTGAGCTAAACATCATTAAGATGGGAAATAGTGTGAGAGTTTCTATTAGGCAAGAATGATTACAGTGATTTTTATACTGTCCTCAATAATGGTGGTTCTTTTTGAACAGATTAACAGCATTTAACTAAAGTACCTGCTGGTTAACTAATATATAATATAAATAACAAATTCTTAATGAGAACCTAATAATGCATTTTAGAATTGTTACAATTTTCTCATGCCCAGTAATTTTACTTTCTCCCTAATTTATCAATTTTTGCCTCTACTTCATTTTCCAAAGTAAAATAATGGAAAGTGTAACAACCCATTCATCTCCAAGCTATTTAAAGAGTCATACTCTCTTTGAAACTGTTTTCTTTTTTCCTCTAAAGGACTAAAGTAAACGACTTCTCTCAAGCTGTCAAGGATATGCTGGGGGCAGCAGAGGATGCACCTCAGGGATACAGACTTCGCCATCCAGAGCTACTGAAGTGGAGAGAGCGCATATTTACATAAAATTTATTTTACAGTGGACAAAGTAGCTATGATGCCTATTCTCCACTTCATGCAAGCATCTGCAGGTTGAAAGGAAAATTAAGACATGGATAAAGAAAGCCCTCTCTTCAAATCAAGAATTGCTATGGTCTTCTCTGTAAGGGAGAGAATTAAGCTCAAAGAATACTAGCAGTGGAGAGCTTTGCGTTTTCTTATTTTAAAGTTATCTTAGATGTTAGTTCATTTTTCCTCAATGACCTTCTGATGTTGGAAATGCAAAAATTTTTGTTCCTCCTTTTGTTGGCTTGGATGGAGGAAATGAAGAACAGAGAGATAAATGACTTGCCCAAGGCCACCCAGTATGTCAGCTGTAAGGTCACTCATATTTCCCAACTTTCAGTCTAGAGCTCTTTTCACTATACTATGCTGTTGTTTAAAAAGACTTGTCTATTTAAGAACAGCTGATATATTAAGGAGTCAGATTTGTAGATGTAATATGAGGCTATAAAAATACAGTAGATTTTCACCTTGTATTAACATGAAAGTCCTGAAGAAAATATCTTTATTCTCAGATTTATAGTATCACACTCATGATGTTATTACTTTGAAACAAAACCATTAATAAACAGTCTCATCTAGGTATACTGTATTAGTAAGTTTTTAAAAGGTGTACATGTATCTAAGACCAAAAATTAAAATACTGCAACCCTTAAATCTTGAGCTGTTAATGTCACTCTTATTTTCCTAATTTCACTAGTTTTGAAACTTATATGTGAAAATATTCCAGTCCCTATTAAGAGAGCAATGCTATTAAGTGTTAGCTCAATCCACTTTCTACTGAGCCCCAGTTCAAATCATCATTTCAGCAATTTCATCTCCCAAGCCACTGCTCATGTTTATCCCCTGCTTTTCATTTATTTAGCCACTTGGTTCTGAACCTCATCATCTCTCAAAAGTACTGCAACAGTTTCCTATAAATCCTAACTTCTCATTTTCCTCTATTTTTAAATTCATAAGATAGCCCACTATTAAAGTGATCGTTGTACAACATTTCTCTGACACCACTACTTCGCTCAAAAACTTCAATGCCCAACCTCATTTGAAAATGGAATTAGAATAACCCAGCTCATTCAATGTGAAAACACATTTGAGGGCTTTTACTTATTAACCTGTCTTTCCAGCCCACCTGACATTCCTTACAAAATCTCCGTACAAAATACATTTCAGTCCTTATGCCTTAAGCACATCCATATTTGCCTCTTTCATGACAATGCTTAACACACGGTATGTAATACCGTATTTATTCAGAGAATAAAGAATCCCCTAATGTCTGCCATTAAATTTTACCAATCATTCAAGAAGTCAATATTTACATACCATCTCTATAAAGCCTTTCTTGATCCTACCAGTGGAATATGACCTTACTTCTCCTTCCTTTGCACTGCTGCAGTACTTTAATTGTATCATTTAAAGAGCACTTTAACAGAGCAGAATGTTGCCAGTGTACTATTTTTTTTATCCAAAAGATAGGTTTAATTCTTTATATCTTTTCATCCTTTGCAGCATCCAGTAGATTGCTAGGATCAAAGCTCAGCTTTACTCATTGCTGGTTTTAGCACCGTGCAATATTCAAGTAAGTAGAATTTAATAAGCCTCCTCCCCCAAACTAATTACATTATTTTTGTTGTATGAATCAGCAATAAGGATTGGCAAACATTTTAAAAACTCCTAACTTTCAGTAAAATTAACTCTAGAACCAGAGCAGCTGTAGCCTGGATTATAATGTCTTCTACTTTAACTTAAATGGTTTAGTAAAATCAGACAAGGAAACATAAGAAGAATGTGAATACTCTTCCTTTCATCAAAAGGGATAACTTGCTCATCTACAACTGAGGGTACTGGGTTCAGAACATAATTTCCAGAGCAAAGATAAGTGAAGTTATGTAGAAGAGCAGGGAGAGCGAGAACACTGACCAGGTTTCACAATGAGTGCTTCTAGACTTCAAGTATACGACCTATCTGCATATGGCAATAGAGAAGCTAAAATTTTTTAAACAATAAAACTTATAGAGCAATATAAAAGTTAGAAAAAGAACTCCTAAATTGTTTCTATTAGGACAGTTAAAAGTTTTGTCTACCTCCCAGATACCAGTTTTTATACAGAGTATAAAGATTTACTGTAGTACCTAGCTGTGTAGTTAAACAGAACATGACTGAGTTACAAAAATGAAGAAGCTTATTTATGGAAAACCAATGTGAGATAATAGAAGGATGAAAACAGAAATTTTACCTGTGTTCTGCCGCTGGAACAGAATAGCCTGGAACAGGATCTTTTGTTCCATAGTATTTTTTTATTAAAGCAATTCCTGCTACTGTATCTGTTCCTTTGAAGTTAACCAAATGAGCAGATGCTCCTATGCCAGCAGTCTGCAAAATAAACCATAAACCAAAATCCAAAAAAAGAAAAAGACCTATACTTGAAGTACAGAGCATAGCCCCCAAAGGAGTTACTGTCTTCAATTATTTTTAAACAGAAGTCAACTGTTACCTCCTCAAAGAGACCTACTTAATTAATAGTGATCTACCCGTACTTCCCATCATCCTCTTTCCCACTACTGTCTTGTGCTTCTCTGTAGTATTATCTGACATCTGCCATGTTTATTACATATATTTAGTCATCTGTACACCCATCCATCAAATATATAAAGGACAGAGATGTTTACTGAAGACTATTATTTCAGGTATCTTTAACAGAGGCTGACAAATATTAGGTATTTAATATCCTTGACTGAATTTCTGGAATTTCAAAATGTGACCTACTTCCAAAATAACTTCCTAGTAACTTCCTAAAACTGTACACTGGTAACCTAACCAACAATATATATTTTATTAATTGAGGTTCCCTTCAGTTTCTTACCTCTTGGGAAGAGACTCCTCTGTAGCCAAAATCATGTAACTTGTATTCCAGACCATCTAAGTTACCAGACGTTTCTAACAAGTATTTGGCCAGTATTTTCTTCTGCTCTCTAGAATTTGTGGCCACTGTGATTGGATACCAGGACTGAACAAGAATAGTCTGTAGTAATAAAATTAACCACAAACATTAATACATAAAAAATTGGATTCTTTCTGAGGAAAATCCTAGCTTTCTCTGGAGGTATGTCCTGGATTTCCATACTAGTAGAAATACCAATTGGACATTTCAGCTGTATGGTGGGAAGCCTACCACATATATTTCAGATACAGTGCCGAGCTCAGCTCTCAAAGCTGCAAAACAAGCGATAAGCAAACTAGGCCCTAAACAGTAGAGAATGTTGAATTATCTATTTTTCCATCCTAAGCTCCAAAGAAGCAAATATTTATGAAAACTATCTGTGATGAAGGACCGATGTATTTCTTTATTTTCAATCTATCATGGATCAATAGTTTTACAAACTATATTCACACTTGGATGCTAAGGCAATTGCCATAAAAGTTTCTAAATGCTTATCCTTGATTTCTTTATTTCATGCAGACTTGCATCGAAGAGTTCATGGACCAGCACTGGTCCACAGACTGCACCTTGAATAGTGTACATCTAGAGAAGTTATTTTTTCACTCCTCTAGTACTGGATCTAATTTTTCCTTGGATCTAATATGACTACTGGTAGGTTATATATGTGAGATACTTTAGTACTAGATAATTCTATTCACTGACTTATGTTTTATATCCTTGGCATTTATCAAAAGTCATTATAAAAGAGGCACATGAAACATTTCTGCATACGCTGTTTACTTCTGAGGTCCCTATTTTGTAATTCAGTTCCTATTATATAGTTTTCCAAATGAGGAAATGAAAGAATTGCTACGTTCTAATACTAAGACTTGCTACTTCCTGATAAGAACTGTCTCTTGGTTTTCTCCCCTTTTCCTTAGCTTCCAGGCAACTACAAAAAACAGCTAATCACAGCAACTACATTAATTATTATGACTTAGGAATTCACTCCTCCATCCTAGGATCATAATTTCCTATTCTTTTTGTAAACCAGATAGCCTGCTATTACAGCAGCTTCAAGTTTTAGAAAGAGCTGCTAAGATGACAACATGTCTGTGCTCAATCAAAAAGCTACTTACTTTCTAAAGTTTACAAAACAAGCTTTTACTGAATACCAGATAAGTGACCAATAAATAAAATAAGTAAAAATAAAAAGATTATTTATTCTTGGACTTCTCAACTCAGTCCCCTAAAAACAAAAACTGCAGTGTTAAAGACTCTTGTGATTAACTTCTTTGCAGCTTCTTCCATCAAGAGGTGTAATCTATCTCTTCATCCCTGATTCTGGGATGTTCCTATGATTTGCTTTTGACCAATAGAATGTAGCAGAAGCCATATTTGTAACTTCCAAGCTTCTGTTTCAAGAGGTTTTATAGCTTCTACTCTCATTTTCTTAGAACCTTGAGACTGCCCTGTTGTAAAGAAGCCTAAGTTAAGAAAAGAGGTAAAGCAGTCCCAGCTGCCTAAGCTGAGGTCCAGACATGAGAGTGAGGCCATTTTAGACTGTCCCTTATCTGAGCTGAACCGCTCCCTGAATGCATACATGTAAATACAAGCAAGACCATCAGAGAACCATTCAGTCAACTGCAGAATCATGAGAAATAACAGCCTTTTTTTGAGGGGGTGGGGGGGTAGTTTGTTATGTAACAGTAGAAAACTGATGCAACTGCTAACTTGAACTCTATGACAAATCACCTCTTACCTAGGCATTCTGCTTCTGAAATTCTTCTTTCATAATTTCAGTGATTCCACTGTCCCAGCCTATGAGTATCCTACTTCTAATTAATCTTTAGCTTCTCTTCCTCTTTATACTGCCACTGGTTATTCTTCTAAAGCAGTTTTATTCAGATTGTGTCATTTCTTAAAATCCTTTAATGGCTATCTATTCCACAGAGGAAGAAGGCCAATTCATGTTGAAATCTGAGGCCTTCTGCAATCTTGCCTTATTTACCATCTAAAGGTTTATTGCTTGTGATATATTCCACTTTTTTGCTATAGTCTCCCTTGAGCTACTTGCCATCCTAAGAATACCTCAACTCTTCATTCTTTCATGAAGAATACCTTCATGAAACGGAAAAGTTTTTTTTTTTCCCATACACAGAATTCACTACTTCTGCTACCAATTTAGCATTCTTACTTTTATTATTGTTTAGTTAAGAATAAATTGCTCCTCCTCCAAAGGCCATTAAGTAACATATACCTTACTCTAATATCTGTGCCCAGCACTTCTGGGGTATATAACTAGTAATCAATATTCATTTGCTGATTTAATTCAATCCACTCATAATTTTAATTTAACTTAGAATGATATTATCTAGGAGTATGAGAAAGATAGAAAACATAATGTGAAAAACTCTAGTTGAGTTATAAAGGTAGAAGATTGACCTTACCCCTCGAAAAATGCCAGGGAAGGAGAGAAATAACTATGAGACACAGTGATCCTTCACATCACCATTTCCTTTCCATAGTCCAACAAAATCAGCTTAAATTATACTCTTAATAAAATCACTCCCCTTTAAAAAAGATCACTGTAGATGTAAGCAAGGGAAAAAAAGGCAAGTTAGTTTGGGTTAATCCAAGGTCTAATAAAGTAGGCCTTGTTGGAAACTTCTCCAAAACAGCAATTTGCCCACACAAATCAAGATAAAATTTTTAGCTGAAAACTAAGACTAAAGTAAAAGAACCTGAAAGTTTTATTTAAGAAGTGTTCATTATATCATTACTGTGCAGAATAAAGAATTTCAAAAAATGAGACATGGTATGGTATAGTAGAAAGGGTACTGAACCTACTTTGTTAACTAGTCCCTTCACCCTTCAGGGCTCAATTTCCTCATCTGTGAAATGAGGGCATTTGATCAGTGTATTAGTTTATAAAGTCACCTTTGATTTTTAACAGCAAAAAGGTGTTTTGTTTTTTTGGTTGGAAGAAACTGTTAAGTTTAGCCCAACATGCTCATTCTTCAGCCCCTCTTAAGTCTGAGATACCTCTGAAGAACTCTTAAGCTCTCCTAAATACATTTTGAAATCTGATTTGAGGACTAAGATTTCTTCTACCACTGATATTAAAATTGATAAAGCAATTCAATAATTTTAGTGGGTTTTAAAATTCAGTGTATGGTGAATAAAAGAATGTTATTAATAACTCTGCACAAGGAATTCCCTGGTGGTCCAGTGGTTAGGACTTGGCACTTTGACTGCTCTGGTTCAACTCCTGGTTGGGGAACTAAGATCCGGCAAACTGTGCAGTGAGGCCAAAAATAAACACCACAAAAAAACAAACTTTGCACATACTGGGAGGGAGAAATGGAAAGAATACTACTAAGCACTATTATTTTAAATTAAGGATTTCCTGAAGAAAATCTCAAGTTTTTAAATAACAAGCTTTTTGGATTTGGTAACAGACTGCATTTACAAGGTAGTAAACTTGGGTGGGAGATGGATAAGAGAAAGATGAACCTCCTCTATCCTCTAACCCACAGAAGAGGCAAAGTCATTGTGAGAAAGTATTTTCTGAAGACATGGTATTTAAACACAAATAAAAAAAAAAACACAGGATTTTTCAGAAAAGAATTGTTTCAGAACATGTATTTTGGTGCCTTAAATAAAAATACATACCAAGGACTGAAATTATTTAAATAATATATATTAGAATAGAAGGTAAACTTGATAAGCAGATGAAAATAGGGAACTTTTTTCCCTTCAAAATCTAAATCTCATATTGGATTTTATATTTAATAATCTTTAAAAATATCTTTATGTTTGCTAACAAACTACTACTAAGATGTCCACAATTTATAAAAACATCAACTTTTTTTTTTTAGTGAAATACATCTAAATAATGATAATTATAACAGGTACTTAACATTTTTTTCAAGGCTAGTATTTTTCATTTTCTAAAGGAAAACATACTTGAAAAGCAAGGTAGACTTGGAGCTAGTTCTGTGCCCACAAACACCTGCTTTATGAGGCTCCCATTCAACACGGGGGAAGAGTGCTTATTGACTAAATCCTCAACTAGAAAACTAAAACGAAAACAAGTGAAAAAAGGTGATTCACAAATGATGATTTTCAAAGTAAGATTTATCTGTTTGGGATCTTTTGGCCTGAAGGTAAAAGATACACTAGATGATGTGGTTCTTTAATAACTCTTCTATTCTTTTTATAATTCCATCCCCTCAAAATAAAGTATCTATCAGTAAAGGAGTATGAGAATTATTAATATGTTTCCTTTTACTCTGAGTTCAGAATTCAGTTTTAACACATAGCAGTAAACTATTTTAAATCTTTATTCTAGTTAACTGCTCATTGTTTCAGAGCCTGTTAGGCTATTAAAAGTTTTTCTAAACTGTTTCTAGTCTTTATAAATGAATCCCAAATGTATTATTTTATATCAACAAATTAGTTTAACGAATAAACTAGTGAGATAGAGCATACAAAACACCAAGTAAACACACCTTAGATAATAGGGTGAAATTTCTATAGTGAACCTTGAATGTATTTAGATGAGAAATACCAGGTGGTGGAGCCTAGGCCCTAAACTGATTAGAGAGGAATAAAGAAAACGATTACTAAAATGTCTTAAGTTACTAAAGATGTACCTGTGCTGTTTTTGTAATCTTTCTCTATGGTGGTGTATATTTAGAATTGCAACAAATAAGATGGAAGCCAGCTGAACTTTAACTGTAACGATTCTTTACAATTTAAGATTAGATTTTACTGGAAGGTAATTTAAAGATTATTTAGTCCAACTGTCATTTTACAGGTGAGGAAACTGAGGCCTGAAAAGCTTTAGGAGGTGGTAGGAGGTTACATAATTTTATTAGTAGCAATTTTTAAACTAGAATCCCAGTTGAATGGTTTTTACGTCTACAATTAATGTTAAGAATGAAAAGCAAAACAAAAAACAATTCACCTCAATCCAGTTTGTAAGCCAGTAACATTCTGGATCTGTGTTTTCCACTGTGAAGAGAACATTTCCTCTAGGAATGACAGAGCCCTCAGGAACAGCTTTTACTTCTATTGGAAGATGCCCATCATATTTCTGGTAAAAGACAATAGTGAAATTATTCACTCAACAGATGGTACACCATTACCTGTTTAAATAAGGTTCTTTATATTTTACAGAAGCTAAACTTACTGTCAGAGAAATTACAACTGTAGATCTTACTATATTGCTAGTAAAATGGTCAGAATATGCTTATCCTCCTGAAATAAAATTAACTATTATGATTAACAGTTTAGTATTACTAATTTTTAGAATTTTATGCTACAAAGTACTTTTGCTAAGAAAATTTATCACTTGAAGATAATTTCAAATTAAAGTTGTTTTCCTCTTCTTTCCCCTTCAAAGAGTTTATTCCAACATATTCTAAGAGCACTATATTTCTTCTAAGTAGCCTTCTTTTCCATAAAAGAAAGGCTAATGACTGGAAGATAAAATAATGAGCTGCTGTTAGAGAGCAAAATTAAATGAACAAACTAAAAAAGAAAAGAACTCTCTGCCAGTAGGTTTTCTCTATACTGGTAGTAGACCTGATACTATTTTGGTAGTAGACAGGCTAACTGTTAAGTATAGTTTCTAGAGCTCTCGCAATCAACATCCAAGTGCAACAAGTCTCTCCCAGATTAGGCTGAGGATATAGGTCGCAAAGAGTCGGGCACGACTGAGCGACTGAACTGAACTGATAGTGGCTATACGACATGTTACTAGATACTTAATTAAGCCTCCCCTTTTTTAAAGTTAAAAGCTGTGGTTAACTTTTGGCTAGTAAGGTAGATTGTTTCAGAAATCCTAACAGTTTATGTGATTTGGGACAAGATAACTAGATTAAAAAAAAAATTCACGATTCTAGAGGTCTCAGACTCTATGCTTATAAAATCAGGTTACACAAGATTATTTGTAGAGCATCTATGAATCCCTAAGATTCTCTGAATATAAAATGAAAGATTTACCACCTTGATGACTCAGAATTATATTACTAAGCACAGCATCTAACTTAACCATAACTGTTATCCTCAAAACAAATCAAATGAGTTAAATGTGGCAGTTAGCCAACAGATTTTACTGACTTTACTTAAGATATGGAAAACTAGCAGAGTGCTTACCCAACTTCTTCAAGGAGCCAAAATTAGTAAAATTCAGTATTACAATATAGGCATGAAAGTTAAAGCATTTATCACTTTGTGTTTGGTAGTTTACAATGAAAAAGACATTCATTTTAGAGATAATTAACATGGAAAGATGTCAGTAGATCCCATTCCCCACCTATCTATGTAATAAAGAAAATGGCCAGGGGATAATTCAACTAATAGCTCAATTTCCATGTCTTTGGATGCCCAAAAGTTTAAGCAAGGAATCCAAATTGTTAGACAGGAATATTACAGTATAATAAAGAATGAAAATTCATTTCACAGATCTGTACTAAACCATTCTAACTATTCAGTAAAGGAAATGTCCTAGAATTGTGTAGTAATAGATTCACACCATCTATTTTCTTAGGTATTCTATAGTCCAGAAAATGGGCTTAAATTTTCAAGTTGCCCCATGCTCTTTCTTAATCATAGTGTATTTTCAGATAAAGGATTAAATCACCTTTCTGATTTGCTAGTTATTTTAAACTGTAATACATACTATATCAAATTGCTTAGACATGCTATAGATTCTTGATACTAATCATCAGGAAAAACAAACGTACCTTTAACTTCTCACAAGAATATCTAAATAGATATTAGTTATAGGTTCCCAGACAGACAAGAGCTGTAATTACAGCTGATCCTTGAACAATGTGGGGGTTAGAGGCACCCCCTGCCAAAAGTAAAAACTCCAGGTATTACTTACAGTCAGCATCCGTTAACGGCAGTTCCTCTGTATCTGTGGTTCTGCATCTACAGATTCACCAACTGCAGGCTGTGCAGTACTGTGGTATTTACTACTGAAAGAAACTCCACACAGAAGTGGACCTCTGCAACTCAAACCTGGTTTTCAAAGATCAACTGTATAGCCTAATCTTCTATTCAAATTCCACGGCAAAAAATTTTGAGCTAAGAAACCAAAATACACAGATCAAAAATACTTATTTTTTACCTCAAGAATGTAGTTCCATCCCTTTTCATTAAAGACATCATCTTGGAAATGCTCTCTGTATACCTCTTTGGCTTCTTGGATCTTCTCTTTGGTCACTACTTTACCTAAAAAAATAAATATCTCCTATTTACATTTCTGAAGGCATGCTGTGAATTGCTGAGTTGTCATAGGATTAATGTCTCTAGCTGTTTCACACATTTTATGGATTAAAAGACAAGAACTGAGAGGTTAAATGATTTACCTAGAGTCAAGAGCAGAGTCAGAAAAGGAATCTGCACTTCCAATCACTCATAAGCAGAAGCATAAAAGTTCATTTATTATGTGAAAAACAAATTTGCAGTAGAAGAGATTATTATATGTGTGTATGTATATATATTTTAAATCACAGTAACAAATTCACTTCTACGGAGATTTTTTAAAAACCTGTGTTAATTTATACAGTCTTCAGATTTGAGAGTAAGCCTTTGATATGTGGTTTCCAGGTGAACCTGTTTACTTTATTCATAAAGTATATCTTTGGAGGCTGACAATCCAATAATTTTCACAGTTCCTAAGTTGTTGCTCCCCCCCCCCCATACACCTTTAGCTAACTTTATCTATAAAATGAGGATAATACCTACTTATAGCGTGGTTGTGAGAACTGAATGAGTTATGACATCTGAATAAAAGTTCTTTGAATCCTGGCCTATAACAAACCATACACTTTAGCTGTAATTAATAATAAATGACACTTTATAAAGCTTTTAAGCTGAAGGAAATTGAAGTGTAACATTAGTCTTTGGTAACTCTCTAAATAAGATCACTAGTAAACTTATTTAAAATATCTTGGGTAATTGTGTTGCAATGAAGTACTTTTGAAATCCAAGTATATTTTCAATAGCATAACATATCTTAACTATCTGATCTTAAAACTGCCAATGTTACAGAAAAAATTATCTGCATAAAATTCAACTTAATCTGTATTCAATTCTGAGATTACTTTTATTTGAAAAGGTAAAAATGAAGTTTTCCAAAATGTATAGAAACCTTGGGAACTATTTCCCCACCCTCCAAATGGACTTCTAAGTAATAAAGTACAGAAATTATTTTGGGGATTCTGCTTCTTTAAAATGAATTTGAGACTAAGTCTACAGTTACAAGTAGTTTTGAAAAATAGGCCTTTAAGATAAAACTCACTAGCATAAAGATATTCTAATTATAACTGCTATCACAACTCAAAATGAGTTTCCAGGTCAGTAACAAATCCTTTATTTTGAATTAGTGACTAAAGTCTACCAACAAACCAGATTACTCTCAGAAAATTATTCACTTCTCTAAATTTATTCCCAAACTTATTAGTTTCAGAAAATCTCTCTCATATTTAGAATATCAAGTACATACAAACTAAAATTTAATGCTTTCAAATTAACAGATTTCTAAAAATTTCAAAAGAACCCCTAATGTAATTAATATCAAAATTAGACTCTTCAAAAAGTTAGTTCAAATAATAAAATATGACAGTGTAAGAGAACAACTATGAAGAGGTATATGAAAAAAAAAGAGGTATATAAAAGGTTAAAATATGTATTTTAAACATATTAGGAAAAGCAATACCTTTCAAATACTTATGAAGAATGTACTGCAATCCATAAAATACTGTTTCCTCATATTTCACCTTCCTTATTTTCGAGTTTTCTGTCTTCTTTTCACGGCATTCAAAGTAGGAATAAACTTTGCTTGTGTTGGGTGGGTACTGTTTATAGTGAGTAACCTATATGAAAGAGAAATACTTCAATTAGAAAATACCAGAAGAACAGAATGTAAATTACAACAAAAAGAACTTGAAAGTATGTAAAAAACTAGTTAAAATATACTGATTTGCTATTGATGAGCTTCTTTTCTGGAGATAAAAGATAAAAAGTAAGTATAGTGCTTATTGTTGTTGTTTAGTTGCTAAGTCATGTCCGGCTCTTTTTCAACCCCATGGACTGTAGCCTGCCAGGCTCCTCTGTCCATGGGATTTCCCAGGCAAGAATACTGGAGTGGGTTGCCATTTCCTTCTCCAGGGGATCTTCTCCATCCAGGGACTGAATCCATATCTCCTGCATTGGCAGGTGGGTCCTTTAGCACTGAGCCACCAGGGAAGCCCCATTATTATTAAGATACTTTTAATACTTCGGTATCTTAAATTAAAAATCACAGGCAAGTATAAATTTTTATAAACAGACTTGATTTAAGGAAGTACAGAGCCTCTATAGAACTGGACACTTGGGGAGAAAAATTAAAAAAAAAAAAGGTATCTCGTTTACTCTTGGTGAACAGTCTTCATTTGGGAAAGGGAAGCAGCTGCCTGGGGGGGACATACAACATAAAAGAATGAACTGAAAGCAGAATTTGGTACTGTTACTATTTAAGTGTGGAAGGCTCAACAAGTCAATAGTCAATGACTTCTTAAGGCTCTCCATCTGTATAACGAGGTACTGGAAATGATCTCTTCTAGTCTTAATAGTGACACTGTGAAACCTGGATGAAAGCAACAGCAGCAGCAGTGGGAAAAAATACCCTATTCTGTAATCTTTTCTCAAGCCACTCTGAATTGCGAAATAAATGTCTATACAATTGCAACATTAAATCCTTGTGAATTTAATGATATGAAGAGGGATTATTAAAAATTTCTTTTCCATGAATTTGGGTAAGAGCCACTGTTGAAAATTTGTTTTTGTTTTCTGTGTTTATTATAATCTGAATTTATTACATTTTAATATGGTTACAATATTTTACCAATAAAAAACCACTGGAAGAATAGTGTCTATTTTCCCATTTGAAAAAATAGGAATAATAATGCCTTAAAGCTTACGGATAGGGTGGTGAGTCAGGGTAATGGTGTAATAAATCTTTGCAGATGAGTTTCATGGACGACTGCTGTGGACACAAACCATTTTCCCTGTTTACTTCTGATCTCAAGTTTCAGAAAAACTAATGTTTTCCCTGTTTGGCTCCACAATCTCAATCCAAGTAAAACTTGGCTTTAACCTAAAGAATCTTTGTGGCTTAACACAAAAACTCTAAAATGAATACACAGAGGAAAAAAAGTCACAAATGTTTAAAATATGTTTCCTTTCTAATTGAAGCAACTCACAACTCTGTCTAATAACCCCCTGATGCTGCTTACAGGTAATCTTGGAGGTGAATCTTTATTGTTAATACGTGGTCTGTTGCCTAAGTCAGGTAAGAGTTGGAACTTTGTTTTGCTCATCTATGCTTCCCAGGTGATGCAGTGGTATAAAGAAACCCCTTGCCAATGCAGGAGCTGCAAGAGATGCAGGTTAGATCCCCGGATCAGGAAGATCCCCTGGAGATGGAAATGGCAACCCGCTCCAGTATTCCTACCTAGAAAATTCCATGGATAGAGGAGCCTGGCAGGCTCATGGGGTCTCAAAGAGTTGGACTGAACACACACAGACAATTATCTATATATTACAAGGTATATGGAGGCTTCATCAAAACCTAGCATAGGGCCCTCCCCAGCGGTGCAGTGGTTACGACTCTGTGCTTCCACCACAGGAGGCCTGGGCTTGACCCCTGATTGGGGAACTCGTGCTGCGTGTTTTAGTCACTCAGTCATGTCTGACTGCAATCCATGGACTTCTCCAGGCAAGAATACTGGAGTGTGGTGCCATTTTCTTCTCCAGGGATCTTCCCAAGCTGGGGACTGAACCTGGGTCTCCTGCACTGCAGGCAGATTCCTCACCGTCTGAGCCAGCAGGAAAGCCCGCATGCTGCATGGCGAGGCCAAAACAAAAACAAGAAAACCTAGAAGTACATGTCCGTTTTCTAAAGTTAGAACTCGGGGGCTGATGCCAGTGTAAATTTAAGATTTAAAAAGTAGTTCAGTGAAGTGGCTAATACAGCTGCTGCTGCTGCTAAGTCACTTCAGTCGTGTCCAACTCTGTGCGACCCCATAGATGGCAGCCCATCAGGCTCCTCTGTCCCTGGGGTTCTCCAGGCAAGAACACTGGAGTGGGCTGCCATTTCCTTCTCCAAAGCATGCATGCATGCTAGGTCGCTTCAGTTGTGTCTGACTCTGTGCAACCCTATGGACAGCAGCCCCCCAGGCTCCTCTGACCACGGGATTCTCTAGGAAAGAATACTGGAGTGGATTGCCATTTCCTTCTCCAAGCTAATACAGAATCCAGAGCGATTAAATCTATTAGCTGATTCATTAAAGTGCAAAAACATGCATATGTATATATAGGCAGGATAATCACAGTAATAAATGATTACTACTTAAGAAACTGGTTAGAAAAAGATATCACCACTTGAAAATGTACACAAGGTGTATATAAAAATGAAAATGTCCATTTTGTTTCTAAAAAAAAAAAAATGAAAATGTCCAGTTTACGATCGAAATAACTCCAATTTCCTTAGTGAGAATAAGCAGTGAGGTGGGAGAAAAGTCAGCTCTGATGAAGTAAAATTTGAACAAAGATTCACAGTTGTGACTCAATAGTTAGTAGGACTTTCTTCACAGTTCACATATTAATGGTGCACCTTTAAAAGTTTACTTTTTCTGTATCAGATTTAAAAGTATTAGAAGGCAAATGAATTACTTTCTTATTCTGAGTAGACCAAGCAGTCAAAAGCTAAATGGAAATGTACCTAAGCTATTTAATTCTACCTTGGTCTAAAAGTGTACTAAAGATTTTCCATCCTACAAATACAGTTCCTGTTATGGACAATAATGAAATATGTTTATATAATTTTAAAGCTTTACTTCAGTTGTTTTCTTTAATTATGGTACTTAAAACCTTTGCAGAAGTATTCAGAATGTCTCTGAACAAAGTTGTCTAGGCTTAGTTAGAAATGAAGTATGACTTCTAAAATCTTTGGAGAAACTTAAGAGAACTGTTTCAGAATTCAGCTAAAGAGTCAGCAAACTCTCTGGCAATTAACTATGAAACAATTTACTATCAACCACTTACTAACACCCAATATATTTGAAGAAGAATAAAATACAATAGTATATTCAGATATGTTTATATACTGGCATATACATTGTTTAAATGGAAAAAAATTTTTTAACAGAGCTTCTTAGTAAATATAGCTTCTAAAATAGCTAATTTTAGTTGTGCTAAGTTTACTGTCCTCTTCATTTTACTTTCTGCTAAACTTGTCATCCTGAGCCTCTTGGAACTTTTATCAGAAAATGAGATGATACAGCAGAAACTCCTATCAATAAATTTTTATTTAATAAACAGTTCATTCATTCACAAATATATACTCTACCTGCTGTGTAATTAGGCACTGGTTCAGGTGCTAAGCATGAGGAAGTAAAATAGACTGACATAGTCCCTAGTCTCACTGGGCTAGTGAGGGCTGAGAGGTCATAAAGTAATTTCAGAGCTAGATAGATGCTATGAAAAATTAAAATGATGGCCTAGAAGAGGCATGGGAGACTAAACAGGAGCCCAGGAAGGCTTCTCCTGAGATAGTGACATGTGAACAAGATCAAAATGACAAGGATATAGGAAATATTTTGACTTCAGAGTCAGAAAAGAAATGAAGACCACTGTGGTTGGTGCTTAGAGAATGAGGAGGAGGAAGTACATGAAGTCAGAGAGAGATGCAGGGACAAAATCACGTAAGACTCACAGGCTACCTCAAGTGGGGAAGCCATTAGTATGCTTTAGGCTAGAGTGATTATCATCTGATTCACATTTAACAAGGATCAGCCTGGCAGAGGTGGAGAGTAGATTACAGGGTTACTGAGTGGATGCAGGAGCATCAGTTAACAGGGTATTGCCAAAACTCAGATTAGGTGAGAGATGACAATATTTTTGAAAAGAAGGCTGATAGATTAGATTTGGGAATAAAGAGGGGGAGAATTTAATGATGTCTCCTAGATTTTTCACTTGAGCAACTGAGTGAATAATGGTGCCATTTGCTGAGACGAGGAAAGGCATGGAATGACTGGGTAGGGAAATCAAGAGCTTACTTTTAAGTATGGTAAGTAAACACTAACAAAAAGCTTCATAATATTCAAAATTAAGTGACCCGCCAAAAGAGAGCTCTTAAATCATATTGTTTTTCAGCACTGCTTTGAACTTCCACCACTTGAAAACATGGCTGTATAATAAATTTAAAATTATTTCTAAGATGAGAAAATAACAAATTTCTCTTAATATCCTCCACAAAGACTACCCCTAAAAATGTTTCCTAAACTGACATAGCCTTCCTGCAACTAACAGAATCCCACCAGCACATAAATATATGTGATGAAGAACAGAGACACAGGGGAAAATGTAGCTCTTCTAATAAATCTGAATTTCAGTTATATGGTTGATTTTACTACATGAAAAAATAAGCTGCTAAAAACTGCACTCCCAGTGTCAACTAACCATGTATAACAGTTCAAGAGAAATATGAGAAGTATTTCAGTTGCATAGAGTTTTTCTGTGACAGCAAAGTATACTTTTCTCCTGAGCTTCTCTAGATTTCCTATAAGGTTGACATAATATATTCCAAGAGCTTTCCTCCCACATTGGTATCACATGACCAAAGGTAACTACTACTAACCTACTTTCAGTTACAATCACTAAGAAATAATCACAAGCCAACATTTCAACACCACCATGTTTATATAAGAGCATATGGAGTAACAGACTCAAAGTCACAAACTAAGCTATGTTACCTGTGTAATATCTAAGGGCACTCATAAGAGACATTTATTATTGGCTAAGACTCTCTACCTTTTCAAAGGTCATGAGCCATAAACAGCAAAAATCATACGAATTTTTTCTTTTCAATATTATTGAGGATTTCTCAAGCCCTGTCCTTCTGTTGCTCCAGAAAATGATTCATTACTATTTGGCTTTGGAAGCTCTACTAACATCAAAATACAATTTAAGGATTTGGGGATTATATTACTTTAGTGAAGGGGAGAAATTGTAAAACTGGTCATTATCATTATGGTGCCTCTTCCCTTGAATCTGGTAGAATTCCTAGCAACTTGCACCTTTTCTTGGCACACCTTTAAGAGAGATTTCATAAACTGACAAAAAGGCTATCAGTTCTAGTATTTTTGTTTTGCAAGATACTCTACAATTATTATTGGCCTTATCCAGTCTTTCTATGAAGTATATTCATGATTTACATATAGGATTTTATTTCTGTTGCCTGGGTTTTTCCTGTAATTCATAATATAAAACTTACTGGAAAAACTCTATCCTAAGAATGCACAGGTGCTCTCTGACATACAAACTGCAGCAGGACCACACTTCTCACAGGGCTGAGGCTGCTGCTGGAGCTGTTTTAACCATATTTAAGTGTCCAGAATTGGTGAAGGAGAAGCAACTTTGAAAAACAGGGAACAACTCAGAGGAAGACACTGGGTAGCTCAAGTCTGAGGCAGGACTAACTTACCCATAAGAATGACTGTCATCTGGCCCCAAATCTTTAACCCCAAAATGCCCAAGTAAGATTTGTTATTCTGCCACTAATGAGGAAGCAAAGCTGTTTTTCAAAAAGCTACCTTGAGTGCTTAATCACCATACATAAATCATACAGCCTTTTGAAACTTTTCTAAAATCAACTTTCACCCATCTTAGGTTGTAATGGACATCTTTTGTCTTTTATAATACCTCAGTTCAGTTCAGTTGCTCAGTCCTATCGACTCTTTGCGACTCCATGGACTGAAGCATGCCAGGCCCCCCTGTTCATCACTAACTCCCGGAGCTTACACAAACTCACGTCCATTGAGTCTGTGATGCCATCCAACTATGTGATCCTCTGTCGTCCCCTTCTCCTCCTGCCTTCAATCTTTGCTAGGATCAGGGTCTTTTCAACTGAGTCAGTTCTTCGCATCACGTGGCCAAAGTATTGGAGTTTCAGCTTCAGCATCAGTCCTTCCAATGAACACCCATGACTGATCTCTTTTAGGATGGACTGGTTGGATCTCCTTGCAGTCCAAGGGGCTCTCAAGAGTCTTCTCCAACACCACAGTTCAAAAGCATCAATTCTTTGGCGCTCAGCTTTCATTATAGTCCAACTCTCACATCCATACATATGACTACTGGAAAAACTATAGCTTTGACTAGACGGACATTTGTTGGCAAAGTAATGTCTCTGCTTTTTAATATGCTGTCTAGGTTGGTCATAACTTTTCTTCCAAGGAGCAAGTGTCTTTTAATTTCATGGCTGCAGTCACCATCCACAGTGATTTTGGAGCCCCCCAAAATAAAGTCTGTCACTGTTCCATTGCTGCCCCATCTATTTGCCATGAAGTGACTGGACCCATTATAATACCTAATGGGTCTCTAATATTTATTAAATTAATGGATGAAAATGTGCCGAGTTCAAGAATAACCAGTTTAAAATGACCTTTTGAGAAGCAACCCACACTGGACAGCACATTTCATAACTTATGTGTCTGACGTGGCTTAAACTGTAAATTGCTTAGAGATTTCTTTCTTGTGCTGCATTTTAATTTTTTCCAACTAAGTCTGAATTGACAACTTCTTCCATTTCAACCTGCTAACAGGTAGAATGTTCAGAAATGTTAAAACTACTCTCTGCTGTAGTTTGTTACAGACATTATCTATATAAAAGGGGAAGAAGAATGGAGTAGAAATGAATCTTTTATTGATTCATTTAGTTGGAAACTGATCAATGGCTATCCCAGAAATAAGTGCGGAAAAAAATGACTTGTTTCCTTTATAAAAAAATGTTCCAAATACTTTTTTAAGCATGGCAATGGCTAAGGCCAGCCCCAATGCACCTTTCCTTAGCTGGCTTATTAGCACAATGTAAATATAACCCAGTAGATAATTTTGCTTTAAACCATTTTGAAAATATAAGTGGTTAGCACTTAGGATTAAGTGTCCTTTTCATTTGTAACAAGAACCCAGGATGAAAACAGAAGAAACAACCACATTCATCTATTTCCTTAGTTCATCATTATGTATAATGAAGTAAGAGATTACAGAAATGAATATATATTTTAAATGCCCCTTTAGTCCAAACTGTCCTGAACTGTCTGGAAAGGATACAAGCAAAAACAAAATTTCTATATGTTGTCATGTGCTTGGACATTGCTGTCTCTTCTTCATCCAAGAAAATAAAAAAAACAAAAATGATAAACAGGCTATAAGTACCACCAAAAATGTAAGGAAAATGAAATTTAAAAACTAAATTGCCAAGTGTAAAATACACAATTTATTTTACTGACTGCTGCAAACCACTAGTATAATAAAACATTAACCTGATTGAATCCTCTTGAGGGTTTTCTTGGGAGGGAGAGTGGGAAATGAAATATGTTAGTTATTAAGATGATAATCTTCTTAAAAGGTTTTATATTAGGAAGGGGATAAATACACCAACCAATCTGACTTGAACAGGAATAAACTTTATTAAATAGGTACAAATTCTAATAGTGCTGTTAAGTATGCCTAGCTAGCAGATTAGAAAACTTTAGGGTAACCACTCTAACCTTTCATCCCAGGAAACTGATGTTAAAGCAATTTTACATTCCTTGTATATAATAGAGGAGCCACAAACTAAAGAAGTTTGCACACTGTTTTGTTTTTAAAAGTTAAAACTTAACCTTTCTTGTTATTAATACATTAAAAAACTTGAAAATTATTTTAAAGATTTAGTTAAGGGGATAAAGTTTTAGAAAACTGTGAATGACACCCTTCTAAAATCACTATTAAAAACACTCAAACTACCATGAACTAAGTAACCACAAGAGTAGCACAGGTCAACCATCCCTGATAGCACTATGATCTCCTTGCAACTGTGTAGATTTCCATGAAGTGGAAATGCTGCTCAAGTAAAAACTGAAACTTATTTTGTGAAAGTGGTGTTTTCAGAGTGACATGTCATTTTTTAGGTGTCCTGGATAACAAAGCTTGTTAGCAAAGTATAATCCAGTTTACTTCATATAATGTGGAAACTGAGGGAGGGGATATTTCTCAAATTTCCCTTTAATCACTCTTCCCTTTATTTATGTATGTGAGTTTCAAATAAAATGATCGGGACACCTATACATGCAAGCGTCCAATAGCCATAGTAACAGAACAATGTGTCCTCTCAACAAGTTCTCTAGGTTAACTACAGTTTTTTAAACTTCTTGTGTTTCACTTTCCTTTTCACAGAAATCACAAGGTGGTTCTAGTGGAATAAAGGCAGATCGGCCTTTGCAACAGGGGATGAGGAGTGTGAGTGATCACCAGAGGCAAAGGAGTTTGAAACCGAGCCCAATGGAATGGGACGGGGAAGTCGAGCAGGGCTCCCCGGAACAGATAGATAAGGGTCCTCCGTACCCGGGCCACCGGCAGAGGAACGTGGCTGGCTGCCCCGGCAGCCCTACTAGACCTCGCTCACCCCTTCCTCGAGGAGGGACACATCTGCCAACTAAGGGGTGAGCTTGCTTGACTCAGCTCCGCGGGGGAAACCCCACTTTTCAAACCTGACTCCCTCTTTCCACGGCGGAATCCCAGGGGCCGTTACCTAACTGACCTGCTCTCCTCAGGCAAGCCCTAACCAAGGCCGGCCCTGCCGGGCCCAGGGCCAAAAGGCCGCACTCCTGGGGAAGGCGTGAGCTCACCCAGTGACGTCCCGGCCGTCGGCCCGCTGAGCTGCCCCGAGCCCCGGGCGGCGAGTGCGGGGAACCGGTTCGGGCCCGCCTCAACCCCTAGCCGCACCGCCCCACCACGCACCCCCCCAGGCCCCGCCTCCTGCCGTCCATCCCTCCATCCCTGCTCCATCAGCCTCCTCCCCAACTGCGGCGCCAGCCTCACCTGCCCCATCCCGCCCGCCGCCGCCGCCGCCGCCGCCGCGCCTTCCCTCGGGGCTTCCCCAGCGCCAAGACCCCAGCCCGGCCGCCCCCGCCCCGCAGCCTCGCGCTGGTCCCCGACGCACCCTCTTCCTCCCCGAGCCTCTACCTTGTAAGAGTCGGTGGCCAAGAGGATATTGAACTCGGTTTCTGCCGCAGCATTCATCTCGGGCGGGAGTGTGGGGGCCGCGCGCCGCGGAGTGCCCGGCGCGGCTGCGAGGAAGGAGAAAAATGGGCTTCACCGCGCTCCGTTGCTTAAGTCACCGATCGGTCGGAGGGGGAGGGTAAGAGGAGGGGGAAAGGGAGCGAGTAGGCGGGGCCAGAGGAGGGAGGTCCCGGGACCCGTGACGCGGCGAGGGAAGCGGCGGCGGCGGAGCGGCGGCGGAGGCGGAGCGCGCTGGCAATCTAGGGACTCCCGGCGGCCTCCTCACCCCGGCTGCCCGCCCCAGTCCCATCGCTCCGCTGGGGACGCGAGGGGCGGGGTGAGGGCGCGCGTGCGCAGATCGCAGGGGGCGGGGGCGGGGGAGGACGTGAGGCACGCGCTTTTCTCGGAGACGCCCACCCCGGGAAGCCGGAGGCTGAGGGGCCGCCCCGGCCCGTGACCCAAGCGCCCGCTTGGCTTTCATTTCCCGGCCCTACGCAGCGGGGCGGGGGCGGGGGCGGGGCCGGGGCCGGGGTGGGGGGCGTTCCCAGCCTCGCCACTCCTGCGATTAGCCGGTTCGCCCGCCCCGCTGGCACCTTCCTGTCCTTACCCAGTCCTGGCCCGTTTTCTGAGTCCTCCTGAAGTCACGCCACTGGCTGGGGGCTGAGGAGCCTCCCTCTGTCCGTCTCCCCGTCCCCCTCGCGCAGTTCCTCACCTTTGTCTCTGGCTCGGATTCGGGATCGAGCCTTTTGCCTTCATCCCTCGTGTCTCTCCTGGTCCTCCTAACCCTCTTTAAAATCTGAAGAGCTTGCTGAGGAATAAGGGCTGAGGTGTCTGCTTAACCTGACGAATCGACTCCACTTTCCTCCACCTCTGTGACTGAGCTTTTTGATCCTTTGAGGGTGTTTTGACATTTCCCGAGAAGATAGCCTGCGCCCCAATTCGGGTGTTGAATTTAGGTCTGACATAAATCAGAGGACAAGACCCAGTGAGTCTAGTTTGCCGAGGAGTAATCGGCAACGGGCCACAATCTTTGACAGGGTGCGAGACTTGTGTCATCGCTGTAATCGCTCAATTTTGGGAAACGGGTTGGCAACCTGGAAATACAAAAGCAAATGAAACGACGTCGGATGACTTCAGCCAAACGTGGACCATCCGTTTGCGTAGTTCTCATACGTGGTTGCATTTTTGCGTAAAACTGATTTCCTTTGTCCCCATGATTAATAGGTTTTTTTTGTTCTGTTTTGTTTTTTAAGATTTAGATTTTACAAGACACAGGTTACCAGGGGAAAACCAACTTAATGAAAACTGGTACATGAACTTTGCAATTGTCATTCAAGTTAGTGGAAGTCTCATTTTATGGAGGATGGGGGTGTGAATTGAGAGAGATTCATCGTCCGAACACTGAGGCCTCTTCAGTTAAAAGCAACTTCAGTCCAGACTATGTCTCAGAGTTAGTACAGATTCCTGACAATCGCCTCCATCTATAGGGAGATTCAGTAAAGGCAAAGATTACAGACTGGTGAGATATCCCTAGGCACTCACCAAGGTAATGAATAATACTAATGCATTTAGAATTATTTCAACAACAAGGTTTAAAACAAACAAGGCTTTTTTTGGTTGACCTAACTCATGTTTACCAGGGAAAATTACTTTAAAAACTAAATTAATATTAAAATACTAAAAATTTTATTTGGGGAGATTGTTATTAATACATAAAAGAGTAAAATTCAGAGAAGAGAAATGATCTGTTTTGCTCTTAATTTGGACCTTTTTTCCTTCATTCATTTAAAATTTCTATAACCTATTTTATTTAAATGACAAATGCTTTTTGCTTAGCTTCCTGGAATCCATGTATGTATAACTGACCATTGTTCTATGTATGTGTGGGGGGGAATAGAATTCTGATTACAAAGTGGGCTTTGTTTATGGTAGCATAAAATTTAAGCTTCAGTCTTTGAATTGAATTTACAGTTTTAAGGTGAAAGGCTTAATATCAGTGCAAGTAAATATGCTATTAACATTGCTTGTTAAATGCAGAAACAGTCATAAGGCCTGCACTCACAGCAGCAACTTGAACACAGAGCGGTCTCCACAGGATAAGAGGAGAATGAAGTCATGTTACCAATAGAAAAATCTCCATTTGTCTAAGGTAGAATTAGGCATCAGCAGTATCAGACTGCTAATGCAGGAAATGTGGGTTCAGTCCCTGGGTTGGAAAGATCCCCTGGAGAAGGAAACGGCAACCCACTCCAGTATTCTTGCCTGGGAAATTCCATGGACAGAGGAACCTGGTTGGCTACAGTCCCTGGGGTCACAAAGAGTTGGACACAACTTAGTGACTAAACAACAACACATATGTAACAACATGGTTAAGCAGGACCAATTTTTAGTTAATTAGGATTTAGAACTATGAAGTTACCACAAAATACAAAGTAGAGATTTCATTTTCAAGTGGCCTTCTTTGAAAGACAATTTAATAGCTAGCATTTAGTATATTTATCAAGTAGCATCAGTCAGTTCAGTCACTCAGTTGTGTCCGACTCTTTGTGACCCCATGAACCACAGCATACCAGGCCTCCCTGTCCATCACCAACTCCTAGAGTCCACCCAAACCCATGTCCATTGTGTCAGTGATGCCATCCAACCATCTCTTCCTCTGTTGTCCCCTTCTCCTCCTGCCCTCAATCTTTCCCAGCATCAGGGTCTTTTCCAATGAGTCAGCTCTCCACATCAGGTGGCCAAAGTACTGGAGTTTCAGCTTCAACATCAGTCCCTCCAATGAACACCCATGACTGATCTCCTTTAGGATGGACTGGTTGGATCTCCTTGCAGTCCAAGGGACTCTGAAGAATCTTCTCCAATACTTCAGTTCAAAAGCATCAATTCTTTGGCGTTCAGCTTTCTTTACAGTCCAACTCTCACATCCATACATGACTAATGGAAAATCCATAACCTTGACTAGACAGACCTTTGTTGGCAAAGTAATGTCTCTGCTTTTTAATATGCTATCTAGGTTGGTCATAACTTTCCTTCCAAGGAGTAAACGTCTTTTAATTTCATGGCTGCAATCACCTTCTGCAGCAATCTTGGAGCCCAGAAAAATAAAGTCAGCCACTGTTTCCACTGTTTCCCCATCTATTTCCCATGAAGTGATGGGACTGGATGCCATGATTTTACTTTTCTGAATGTTGAGCTTTAAGCCAACATTTTCACTCTCCTCTTTCACTTTCATCAAGAGACTCTTTAGTTCTTCTTCACTTTCTGCTATAAGGGTGGTGTCATCTGCATATCTGAGGTTATTGATATTTCTCCCGCAATCTTGATTCCAGCTTGTGCTTCCTCCAGCCCAGTGTTTCTCATGATGTACTCTGCATATAAGTTAAATAAGCAGGGTGACAATATACAGCCTTGACGTACTCCTTTTCCTATTTGGAACTAGTCTGTTGTTCCATGTCCAGTTCTAACTGTTGCTTCCTGACCTGCATACAGGTTTCTCAAGAGGCAGGTCAGGTGGTCTGGTATTCCCATCTCTTTCATCTCTATATGGTCAACACCGAAATCAGATTGATTATGTCCTTTGCAGCCAAAGATGGAGAAGCTCTACACAGTCAGCAAAAACAAGACCAGGAGCTGACTGTGGCTCAGATCATGAACTCCTTATTGCCAAATTCAGACTTAAATTGAAGAAAGTGGGGAAAACCACTAGACCATTCAGGTAAGACCTAAATCAAAACAAGTAGCATAGGAGATCTGAAAAACTGTTTCTCATAGGTCTCCACAACATGACAAATGATGATAAAAACAAAGACTCAAATGGGCCCCTGACTTTGTTCAAAACCCAGGATTAATCTACTATTCCTACCAAATAGCTAGTCGAAGCAGGTTAAATTGGGCATCCAGCTCCTTGTTTATTTCCTTCTGAATGTTATAAAAGGCCTGCAACTCATGCATTTGATCAAGGTGGGTGTTCCTGCACCTCTCCTATTTCCACACACCCCTCCATTCAGCTTTGGCACACTTGTGTATTTCAAAGTTGCCTCAGGTATTCTAATCAGACCTGAGTTCACCTAAGTAAAACAGTGGAGAAGTAGGTGTGGGATGCACCCACCTGGAACTCCTGACAATGGTTATCTGTCATGCTTCATAACTTTCTCCAGCCTTACAAGCCACAACAGTTGTTAAAAATGTTAAAGATGAAATTTTAAATTAAACTTAGACCTTTTCTTATTCAAACTTCTGTGGCCCTTTGGGGACACCTCAGAGTTCTAATTTCATAAGGAAAATGCATTATCTACAGAAACACATGGGTTTTCATGAATCTGATTATCAGTACTGTCAACTCCTGAAGCATTCTTTAATGACTGTTTGTTGGATCTGCTACAATCACATAAAGACACACACAAAGCTGCTGAGTCTTAGTCTACAAGAATAGAAATGTTAAGAGTAAGTGTAAGTCACGTATAAGAAGAATTAACACACATACATGGATTGTTCATAGACCTTCCATTACAAAGTGTTCTGGTATACTTTCTATTGTATGCTTGTGATCTGACTGTACTACACTCTTGTAACCAACTATTTGCCTGGACAAAGTAAGGAAAATGTGTACATGTTATAATACTACATGTGTGAATTTGGATATCGTAACTACTTATAAATTTTGCTGATGGTCACTTTCAGACTCAATGGCCAAAATCAGTGACTGAGAGAATAAGACTGTTAAAATTAGACTGTTGAGATCTTTCCATGCAGCACTTTCCTAAGAAAGGTTTATCACTGATGGTAATATCAGGTGCATATTAGTGGTAGTCAGATATGCATTTTTATGTCAATTATTGTGTATTTATTTTTAATGAGTTTTAGCAAAATATAACTAGTACATAGTAATAGTACTAGTATAACTCAATTTGTTTCTTGGAAATTATTACTTAGGATGAAGCTAAAGTCAATAGGCACTTGGACTGGTGAAATTTGTTATTTTTCTTGCCTTTCTTAACCTATCAGCTGTTTTCATATATAAG